GAGTGTGGATAGGAACAGGATTTTCATAGTGATGATGTTCCATATGTAATTCCACATCTGCTGATGAAATTATTGGCTTGTGATGAGAATCATCTTCCACTTGTGGAGTTTGTGGAATTTGTTCCTCTCCTTCCCATGCTCGTTTCACATTGGCAACAAATGTTGTTGGAATACCAGTTGCTTGTTGCATAGTACCATCCACTTTGAGTGTTCTTGTTGATGATTGCTTCTCAAAGAGGTTACTAATATTGTACGTAGTGGTGGTTGTGGTGGCTGTGGTAGCTGTGGTGGCAGGTCTTTCTGAAATACAGTCTTGTGCATTCAAACTTTCCAAATTAACTTTAGAATTAATTGGTAGGATACTATTGATAGAGTATTTGAGTGATCTTGAAGTTGCTGGTGTTGATGGTTTAGTTGATGATTGACTGTAAATAGAACTAGATGGTTGAATAACATGATGGTCAATCAAGTCTATGGAATCAACAACTTGTTGTGGAACAACCGAATTCTTCTTAATCAGGTCCAAATTCAATTCCTTGATAGAAATGACAGAATTTGCAGTGGATGGCCTCTTGTCTTCCTCTTCAGTTGGACGAGTTGGTGTAGATGGTATTTCTTGATCGGGATTATATTCCTTTCTAGGAATGTAAAAATTTCCTTCAATATCTTCATGACTTGGAACAGCAATTTCACTTTCGTCACCATAATGTTTCTTTGAAGGAAGCTTAATCTTTTGTGGTTTGAGGTCATCATGAGTAACATAGGACAAGTGACGAAGAAGTTTTGGAATAGGACGTGGTCGAATAGGTCTGACCGGTCCAGAACCTTCCTTTGGGTTGGTGGAACCATGCTTATTCTTTGAATTCTTGGTATTTCTCTTTCTCATAAAGAAACATACAAGGAAAAGCAACAAGAACATGCAGGACAATCCACATACTATGGCTGCTGAAAACACAGCTGCTGCAACGTACATGTACGAGTAGTGAGAAACTGTGGCAGTCTGGATGACAAAGACATTGGTAAAGTGAGAACATTTACAATAGGCATGTGTATCATTCTTCAGTTGGAGGGAACATGAGTAGGTAACTTCAGTAGTTCCATCTAAAAAGTCTGCACATGCATAACTGTCTGTTTCCTCTGTAAAATCGAATGAACTTGCTGTACTAGATGTAAGAGTACTTGTAGTATTGATGGGAATAATGTAAATGAGGCCATCTTCCTTCATAGGAACACTCAAGTCCGTGAATTCAACCGAGACAATTGGAGAAATAAGACTTGACGTTCTAGTTGTCGAGGCAGAAAGTTTTTGTGAAAGTTTTAGCTTTCTATCAAGAGAAAACACATCATCTGTTACTGTCATTACGTACGTGAATGGTTTTTTAACAAGTGATGATACCTTATTTTCAAAAACAAAGAAATTGTCTGGAATTAGAACAGAAGTAGATCTTTCAGAGTCAGTAATGATATTCTCATAATCATAAATGGTACTTTTACCCATAATCATGGAGAAGAATGGTCCTTTGGTTCTAGTAATAGTACGAGAAATGTACATGTCTCTGGTTTGAAGATTTGACGACATTTTGAGTGCGGATAATAATTTTCTAGAATTGGAAGTTTGGTCAGTAATGTACTGTCTTTCCATAATGTAGTCATGGACAGATTCAACACAAGCATTCAATAGGTTTTGCACACCTGGAGATAATTTGATTTTTCCAGAATCTTGGGCAGTTGTTAAAAACCTATTCAGGGTGCATAATGCCTCTGAAATTGTCTTGGAATTGAGGAAATGATAATTAACAAGGATTGAATCAACAGCAAATGAGAGTAGAGAAATGTAATCCTCATTCAAACCATCAGTCTTATTCATACTTGTAGTAATATCATTTAGGACAGTTAATTTGCTCTTTTGGATGTTAGAAAAATCTCTAATGGAGGTTTCACAATGAGTACCAATATATCCATCAGCACACTTGCATTCGCCTGAAACTTCTACACCACTTATACATTGAAGATACTTGGTTGATCTTTCATTTATGGAACGCTTAAATGATAAATCTCCAAGGGTTTCTTTCAATAGAACCGAATCTGTTCTAGAAGTAGAGGCAGATTGATAGATGCTCTTACTGAAATGACCTTCGGACATGTAGGTTGCACTCACCCCTGACCAAGTCGATACAATTTCTTGAACTTGTTCAATGTCTGTTACTGTTGGTTTGGAAATTGTAATATTCTTCTCCATAAGAGTTGTACCGCCTGTGACAGTATTGATAATTTCAAAGAAACAAGTCACTGTATCACCATAGAATGGTGCAGGTAGTTTGGAGGCAAACACTTCACCAAGGTTGTACAGATAAATCTTGGATCCTGATCTATCATCCAAAAAGCCATACTTAAAGTCAATATTTTCATCTGGATTTTTACAATTGGTACAATAGAAATCAAATTCAGTTTCAAGTGCAATACCTGTTGATGGATTAATGGAGCAATCACATGGTTTTGGAATGGAAGCCATTGAGAATGCATACGCTGTTCTCACAGTAACACCAGAAGAAGTATCTCTTGCTGCAATAGTAAGAGTATTGGTTGAACCCTGCACAAGCAAGGTTGTATCTATGACTCCTGTCACCATTTCTGCAGCACCAACTTGCTGTACTATGAATTTAGACTTGTCAAGAATCATTCCATTGAGAACCCATGTGGTTTCTGTGGAGGAAGTTATTTCTGATGAGATTAAAGTTTGAACGGAAAGTTTTTGCCCAGGAATCAAGTATTGAGTAGTAGGATTAATATCAAGGATATTCACCACAGGTGGAATATTATTAAAGTAAACAATGGTGGACTTTTCCACAATTCTGTCAGTTTTGGAGACTCTTAATCGAAGTTGAAGTGATGAAGGAACAATCATGCTTCCAAACAGGGCTGAATCAATGGTGAATAGCTTGGCTTTTGTGCTTGAAATGGATCGAAGCAAACTGAGCAAATCAGGATTGCCACTATCTAAGCAACTCCATGTCCATGTTTCCACTGATTCATAATTGATGGCATCCTCTGGATCACTGTATTCCACTTTAATGACTGTATATGTCTTTCTGGATTCTAATTGAACAAGATTTAGATAGAGGTCTGGAGATTTTGTTGTCAATGTCACAGTAGAGGTTGAGGAGAGTGTTGGATTTGAAGCATAGTAAGCTTTCACTGTGAATGAGTAGCTCACACTTCCAAAAGTTCTCAATCTAGAAATGTACAAATTGTTAAACTTGTCTACAGTGAATTCTATGGCAGGCCCTGATGTTTGAGCCCAATCAATTGTAACAGATTCTGATGCACATGTTGACTGAGTAACAACCTTCTTGATTGAAGAAGGAAAATCTGTTGTGAGCTTTTCAACCAAGGATGGAGCCATCACTAAAGGAAGAGGTTTCTCAGACTTGACAAATTCCCTCGAATATACATAAGGACTAATAGTATTCAATGAAGGGCTATGGACCTGAAGCATCATTCTATATCTTCCAGCTGGAAGTGATGCTTCCAACTTGATAATAGCTTGATTGGGATAACTATTAGATACAATTTCAAAGGTAGTTGCATCGAGTAAGGACCAATAATAGCTCAATTGCTTTCCATCATTGGAGTGGCTCAGAGTGCCATCTACACTAATTTCATCACACGAACTAAACATGTCTATATTGGCCATACTAATGAAGGCAGTTGGGGTGTTATTCTGTAAGGGCATGACAACTGGAATGGAAATATATTCCTCTCTGGTTGTTAAGTTATTGTATCTATCGTAGACGAGTGTATTCAATTTGATTGATTGACCACTTTCTAATGTATAATCAATTGAACCAAAAGTGATCATGAAAGCATAGCTTGCCTTATTCAAATATTTACATTTCACATTAGAGAAGGAACCATAAACATTTCTGGACCTATCTTCTGAACTGATAAGATTCGAGCACGGAATTTCCACACCAGTAAATGCTGTTGGGAGGTTGAGTTTAAATACTAATCCAGAAAAATCGGAAAGAATAGTGGCAGGTCCTTCAATCTTGGTTGCACAATTAATTCCATAATAGCCATTCAAACAAGTGTCACATAAGGAGCCATTCCAGAATCCACGTTCAAAACTTGAATAACATTTGCAAGTCAAATCAGATTTACATTCTCCATTATTGAAACAATTATTTGCACAAGTACTATTTACAACAGTTGTTGGAGTACTGCTTGAATTATTGCTAGTATTGCTAGTTGCATTGTTTGAAATCGGTGGAACTATAACCTCGTTACTTGTGTTGTTTGTTGGAGTGGTTGAGTTTTCATTGGGAATGGTAATGTTTGGATGTAATTGTTCTGAACAATTAAATCCCAAGTATCCATCCTTACATTTACAAGTGTCAAAATCAGTACACTGACCATTACCAGAACATACTAACTCAGATGTGGATTTAACAGAAAAGCAAGTTGTGAAATTACAGTTTGGTCCAAAATATGGCAAGTTACAGTCACAATGATTGAAAGATTCACACCTACCACGGGATTGACAAACAAGGGATTCATTACTCAATACACCAAAACAACTTGTCACAGAGCAATCACTTCCAAAGCTATTTGGTTCACATTCACAAGTGTCCAAGTCTGAACAAACTCCTCTTTGAGAACAAACAGTCATATCTAACTTGGATTTACCGTAGCAATAAAAGTGAGAGCAATCTGGGCCAGAGTATCCTTTGTTGCAGACGCACGTATCATGACTTGTACAACTACCACGGCCAGTACACGTCTCAGAGCTATTGGACGATTTTGAAAAACATGTAGTCAACTCGCAATTCATTCCAAAATAGTTTTCAGCACATTCACATTGGTCGAACTCAACACATTTTCCTCTGGAATTACACACAGAAGAGGAATTTGATGGAATATTGTGGCATAGAGGAATTTCACAATTAGATCCAGTATATGAAGAATTGCAAGAGCAATGATTTAAGGTGGAACAATTTCCTCTTGAATTGCATACATTTGGATCATGAGAAGAAATTCCAAAACATGTAGTGTACTGACACCAAGGTCCTGCATACTCTGATGGACAATGGCACTCATCAACCTTTGAGCAATTTCCAACAGAATTACATACTTTGGAAGAGTTTGAGGCAATTCCAAAACATGTAGCCAACTCGCAATTTCTTCCTGTATACTTTTCATTACATGTACAATTATCTGGTGAATGGCAAGGGCCGTGATAGCTACAAACTGAAGAATTACTATCCTTAATACCAAAGCATAGAGAACCAAAGCAATTATCACCATAAGAGCCGTGGTTACAAATACATGTATTCGAATCGGTGCATGAACCATGTCCAGAGCAAACACTGGATTGGTTATTCATTACACCAAAGCACTTGTAATTTTCACAATTGGATCCATAATAACCTGATTTACATTCACACAGATTGTAATCTTTACAAGAACCATGCGCAGAGCAAACATAAGAATCATTAGAAGCAATACCTGCACAATAGCTCTTTTCACAGTTGGTTCCAAAGTAGTGAGCTGAACAAGAACACTTATCGGCAGAGATACATTGGCCATGAGAGGAACAAACTGAGGAAACATTACTTAAAACTCCATTACATTGTGTTACTTCACAATGCTTGCCAAAATAATCCTTTAAACATGAGCAAGTCTCAATGTCAATACAAGTGCCCCTTCCTGAACAAACTTTAGTATCGGTACTGAGTGTACCATTGCATTTGAATAGTTCACATTTGCTTCCTGAGTAACCACTCTTACATGTACAGTTATTGAAATTAGAACAGGTACCATGAGAAGAACAAACTGAAGAGCTATTAGAAAGAGTTCCATAACATGAAGAAACCTGACAAGTTGAACCATAGTAATTTGCTGAGCAGATACAATTATTGAATGAGCTGCAATAACCATGTGAGTTACAAACACTTGGAGATGTTGAAAGTTGAGAGCCGCAGGTTGTAATCTCACATCTAGACCCCGAGTAATGATCTTGACACGTGCAAGTGTTTGGGGATGTACAATTTCCATGTGAGCTACACACAAGAGATGAATTGCCTGTTGTACCATTACATATTGGAATTTCACACCTACTTCCCAATGAATTTGATGAACAAGCACATGTATCAGTATCTACACATGTTCCATAACCAGTGCACACTTTTGGAGATGTATTCTTGATGCCAAAACAATAGTGTTCTGAACAATTTTGCCCAAAGTTACCTTGAAGACAAGAGCAATTATTAAACTCTCCACAAATTCCCTTTCCAGAACAAACAGAGCTAATGTTTGATAGGAATGAATAGCAAGAAGTAATTTCACATTGACTTCCCATGTAATTATTCAAACATGAGCATGTATTGAATCCAACACATGTTCCCCTTGATGAACAGACAGATGTATCATTACCAAGTTTTCCGTAACATTTAGAGATGGAACAATTATTTCCGTAATAATTATTGGAACAAACACAAGTGTCAATATCCACACATGTTCCTCTTCCAGAGCAAGTCTTGTTCGAATAGTAAGGAATGTCGTAGCACTTGTAATCAGAACATGTGCTGCCATAGTAGGTGTGATTACATTGACAATTATTGTAACTAATGCAGGAACCTCTTCCAGAGCATACATACTTGCTGTTAGAGAAAACTCCAGAACAAGTAGTCAATTCACACCATTGTCCCAAATAGCCAGTTTTACAAAAACAAGTATCAGGTGCTATGCAACTACCATGCGAATTACATACAGTGGTATCATTGGAAAGTGTTCCATTACATTGAACCACACTGCAATCCATTCCAGAATAGCCAATATTACATTTGCAAGTATCAGGACTAGTGCATGATCCTTGACCACTACAGACAAAGGTAGAATTGGATGAAGAAATTCCATAGCAACTTGTCTCCTCACAATACTCTCCAAAATATCCACTATTGCATTCACAAACTTCGTTGGCAATGCATGAACCCCTTCCTGAACAAACAAAAGATTCATTATTACTTAGCATGCCATTGCAAATGTAGAGCGAACAATCTGTTCCATAAGCTCCATAATTACACTTACAGCTGTTGTAGTCGATGCATTGTCCATTTCCAGAACATGTACTATTGTCATTGGAGTTGATACCATAGCATTTTGTAAAGTTACAGCTGTTGCTTAAATATGGCTCAAATGGATCGAAACTCTTTGGTGGTTCAAATATGACACTCTCTAAAATAACATACGAGTTGAGAGCCCATATAGATCCAGCAACTGTTCCATGCACGTATAGATAGTCATCCTTGGTGGCTGATATAACAGTACCAGCTATTGGTTTTGTGGAAGAACCCCACACTTGTGATGAAGATCCAACCACCCAGTATAAATTTCTATGTGAGGCACAATTTAAAAAGGTAATACTTGAATTTGCATAATAGAGTGACGGAACCTTAATTACTACTGGCTCTGTTCCAATAATAACAATATTTTGAGTTGGTTTTACAAACCAATTTGTTAAAAAACAAAGAACAGCTCCATTTCTAATGATTAGAGTTGAAGAGACATTGGTTGAGGTTAAGTATTGTGTACATGCCATATTTTGAATGAGATCAATTGATTTTGTCATTTCATCAACAAGCATCTGGCCAATTGGCTCAGAGGTCAAAACAATTGAAGCATTCTTATTTGGCAAGTACGGGAAGTATGAATATTCTTGTAATTCTAAAACCATACTAGCTGTCAATAACTGATACTCTCTTCCTATTGAGGAAATGACATGTTTTGAGCAGATCACTTTGTAACCGGCGAATATATCAGTCTTGAGTTTTTCGCAATTTTCACCTCCAAATCTATTTCCACATTGGCAAGAATTGAAATCAACACATTTTCCATTTCCAGAGCAAACATTGCTATCATTGGATGGGATACCGTGACATGAATTAATTTCACAGAAAGGACCATCATAATTAAGAAAACATTTGCAAATGTTGTAGTCTGTACAAGTACCATGTGAGCTACAAACTGAGGAAACATTTCCAAGAGTTCCATTACATGTTGTAATAGAACAATTTAAACCTAATCTGTTAGCTCCACATTGACATGTGTCTGGACTTGTGCATGAGCCATGGCCAGAGCACACTGAACTATTAAAATTACTCACTCCAAAACAGTCATAATTGGAGCAATGGTTTCCATAGTATTTGTCTGAGCAGGTGCAATTTTCAAAAGAAGAACATTTTCCATGAGTAGAGCAAACCAAAGAATCATTTGAAAAGATGTTTCCACATTTTGTTATATCACACTCCTGTCCATAGTAATGTTCTTCACAAGAACAATTGTTAAATGGCCAACAGATTCCTCTTCTGTGGCATACCTCACTGTGATTGGAGAGAATTCCAAAACACAATGTCATTTGACAGAATTCTCCAAAATAATTTGAGGAACAATTGCACATATCATTAGCTGTACACGATCCATAACCATTGCAAACATTAGTGTCATTACTAAAAGTTCCATTACATTTAGAAATTTCACACTCATATCCAATGTAATGCTCAAAACAAGAACATGAATCTTTTTGAGAACAATTTCCTCTTCCACTACAAACAAAACTATTATTCATATTACTCACACCAAAGCATTCGAAATATTCACATTCAGAACCCGAATATCCAGGTTGGCAAGAACAATTATTGAAATCATTGCACTGCCCAAATCCCTTACAAACGAGTGAGGAGTTTTGTTGAATACCAAAGCAGGTTACAAACTCACAATATTTTCCGTAATACCCTTCTTTGCATTGGCATGTTTCTGGTGCAATGCAAGTTCCTCTTTCTCCATGACATTCTCCTATCGTACCATTACAAAGAGGTATTTCACACTCTGATCCTCCGTAGCCCAAAGTTGAATTGCAAGAACAGTTATTGGATGATATGCATTTACCTCGTTCATTACAAACAAGTGGAGAGCTGTATGAATAATTTCCACACACATAGTCAGGCGCAATTTCCAAAATCGTAGTATTGGTACTGTTTGAAGGTTCTGAAATATTAACCGAAAATGAACAATTCCCACACAAAGTTTGATTCCAATAAGTTTCATTGAGGGGATTGCTATTATTCGAAACTGTAATGTTTTGCTGCGTATTGGTACTGTTCATAGTAATGGTTTCATTTGAGAATAGAGTGGAAGAATTTAAAGTATAGTTTTCTGAGGGTGTACTATTGAAACCTAAAGTAGTACTATTGGTTTCCACACATGATGAACAATTAGCTGTTGTATTGGAAGAAATACTCTCATTATAGATTGTAGAGTTGGATATTTCTAATGTGCTACTACTGGTTTGATTGTTAGAGATTTGATTATCAGAATTGTCTTCATGTTTGGTTTGATTGTTAGAATGGCTGGTTTGATTTTCACTTGAGGAGGAAAAATTCGATAGAATATTTGTGGAATTATTTGTGAGAGTTTCATTCAAGGTTTGGTTGAATGTTTGAGAATTATCTTCCAATTCTCTTCCAAATTTGTGCGCTGAGTTGTTCAAAGTGCAATTACTTCCCACTGGACAGTTTTCTAAAGCTGTCGCATTTTCCAGCAGAGAGCTAGTTGTCTCATTGAGTGATGAGGTATTAAGAGTGGTGGAGTTCTGAGAGAATACAGTTCCATTCACTGTGTTATTTGACTGGAAAGAAGTGTTCCACGAAGCAATTTCACTACTGGAATTAGTTGTGCTCTCAAAAGTAGTGTTGAACGTGAACGTATGATTCGACAGAATTCCAGTGCTGTTCTCCAGACCTGTTTGATTGAAAATAATTGATGAGTTCATGCTGTTATTACAATCGGGAGATGTTACATTGAGAGAGGTATTGATCCAAATCGTGCTGTTTCCTCCTTCATACGTATCAGAACTGTTGTAATGTTGAAGGATTGTTCCATTTGAGGTACTAGCATTATAATTTTCACTGCTTGTAGTATTTTCCCAAACGGATGAATTGGAAAAGATAGTCGATTCGTTAGAGTAGGAAGTGAAATTCGATTGTGTGCCATTCCCCATGAACCATTCAGTTGAATTAGTAACAGATGTACTGTTCTTGTCTAAGGTTTCATTTGTACCATAAAGACAAGTATCACATGTGATGTTCAACACTGTGTAATTGGAAAAGTTTGAAGAGTTACTAGTCAAACTCTGATTGGTGGCCAATTCGGTGTTGTTAAGACGAACATTTGAAAAATTTCCTGTAGAATTGCTTCCTACTTCTAAGGAATTGTTGGTTACATTATTTGTACTGGTAGAATTATCAGAAATGGTGGTATTAGTATTAGTTCCAGTAGAATTATCCGAATCAGTTCCGTTTGTTTGACCAACAAAGTTAGTTCCATTATTTGATTCAGTAGTATTACTTGAAGAGGTGCCATTTGATGGAGTATTATTAATAGTTGAATTAGTGTTTGTTTCATTAGTATAAATAGTTCCATTATCCAATTCAGTAGAATTAGAAGAGAAAGGAATGGTTTCATTGAACGAAGTATGTTCGTTTGTAAGATTGTGATTTGTTATATTACTTTTGGTATTTTCTAACTTGGTTTGATTTACCATATTTGTAGCATTGAGCTGTGTATTGTTTGCTAAATTCGATGAACTATTAAGGGACAAGCTATTTGTCTCATTTGAAAGGATTGTGGAATTTATGACAGTTTGATTTTCTCCTTGAAATATTTCAGTTACTGTCCCATTATTGAATGGAGAGGTACTATTCTCATAACTTTGGTTGTAAAAGCTTTGATTAGTGACAACGGAATAGTTTACAGTGGTGTGATTAAAGTCGTGAGTTATGTTGCCATGTACTACACTACTGTTGCTCACTGAATTATTCTCAGCCCTTTCAGTTATATTTAACACTGTAGAATTTCCTTCAGATTCACTAACTTTTCCTTTTGTTGGTATTGAATCATTAAGATTTTCACTGCCATTCTTTGAAATAGGATTACTTGAATTTGTAAGTTCCGTATTGTTTTCTGCTATTAAAGAAGTATTAGAAATACTGTGGTTTGTTTTTTCATGGTTTGTATTATTCAAAATGGTGCCATTAATTGTTTCATTCAAAGATATAATAGAGCTGTTACTACTTGTAAAGTTATGCATTTCTGTATCATTAAGCTGAGATCTGGTAATATTATTATAAATAGACTCATTAACAAATGATATCTGTGTTGCATTAAGAGATACAGAATTGTTAGACAATAGAGTATTATTCTCTTCGGAGTATCTCGTAAAGTTAGCATGGGTTTGATTAAGATTAGTACTATTTATCAGTGTGGAATTATTTTCATTCACTGTTCTATTCAATTCAGAATGGTTATGTGGAGGTGTTTCAGTGCTGTTTTCTACAACTTTGTTTGAACTATTGCTGAATGTTGAATTCCACTGGTCAGTGACATTGAACGAAGTATTTGAAAGTGGATTTGTTGAATTGAGTAGACTTGAATTTGATACAGTACTTTGGTTGCCAAGGGAGGAGCTGTTCCCAAAGGTTTCTGTTCTGTTTACAAATTCGTTTGTGTTGTTATCCAAAGAGTTTGATCCTGTTATGTTACAGTTTGTATTATTTAAAGCAGCTGTAGTATTACTATTCTCTGTTGCATTAGCAAATCCGAAAGTGCCATTAGATAAGGAATTGTTGAAAGTTGCAGTATAACCCAAGTTTAGGGAATTGTTTGAATTTGTATTGGTGATGTTTCCTAATTGTGTACTTTCTGTGTAATTTAAATCATTCGTAGAATTAGAAGAAGTGAAATTCTGATTTGTACTGTTATTGGTATGTTCATTACTTGTATGGTTTGTTGTTGTGTTATTTTCCACCAATGAATTATTTAGTGCTGTAGTGTGATTTTGAACAAAAGTCTCATTGTTCAAGGTTTGTGTGTTATTTACACCAAATAAAGTCTCATTATTCCCTGATTTTCCTTCCAAAGTTTGATTCCTGGTTTCGTTTAAAAAACTTGAATTAGTGATAGCAGTATTATTTTCCAATACTGAAGATTGATTGTGTAACTTTGTGTTATTCTCAAATAGAGTGGTATTAATTGTCTGAGAATCGTCGATCATAGACGTTGCGTTAGTGTTAATTGTGAGATTCTCATTATTAACTGTAGAGTTTGTTTCAATACTGGGTACAGATGAGCTATTCTGATTCTCAGTTTGGTTGTACCTACTATGAAGAGACTCGTTCCCTATCATTGTTTTGTTTTCATTTATCAGGGTGTCATTATTTACAAGAATTGTAGAACTAATAGATCCATTGAGGTACGTATCATTGAGTTGAAAGGTAGATTCATTAAGGAAGTTTAGACTTGAATTCAAATTTGTATAGTTCACAGATATTGAAAGTGTTTGATTTTGTGATTTGATATTGACAAAAATGGAACTGTCATTCCTCAGAGTTTCGTTCAATGTTACATTACCAACTGTGGTGACTTTGGTAGAATTTTCTGAAGAATTTCCATTCAAGAAACCGGTTTGGTTACTTATTGCCGTTCCATTTTCGGCAGGCATTGTTTGCTTTTCGAAAGTTGTAGTGTTGTTTTCAGCAAAACTATTATTTTCGGGCCTTGTGGTATTTTGAGTGGAAACTGTAATAGACATATTGCTAGAAATTTCTCTGGTGATGTTGGAGTTTGTCATATTAGGATTAGTATTTGCCAAGTTATTAACCACTGAGCCGTTTTCCTGCAACGTTTGATTTCTTGTTTCCAAGCTGTCATCAGATCTAGATGTCGAGTTACTAGCAATACTGGTATTTGTTATTGAAATAGTTGTGACATTACTTTGTTCAGTGTTGTTCCAATTGGTTGAGTTCATTGTTTTGTTGCTTTCAAGGTTTTCTAGTGTTAAGTTCTTTGAAGACGTTTCATTAAGAAAAACGGTTTTGTTTGTAATAGTATCTTGTGAAGAATTACCTCCGTTAGTATTATTGCTAGTGGTGATATTGAAAGATTCTGTGCGATTGATAAATAAATCAGAAGTGTTGTTTAGCACAAGCAATGAACTGTTAAGGTTAGTGGAGTTCTCAAGTGTTATGGTTGAATTGATTGAGATTGTTGAATCATCCAAAACAAACTGGTTTGTATTATTCAAATCTGTTGAATTACTTGTTTCATTCACCAATAATACGGAGGTATTAGAATAGCTATTGGAGAGTGTGTTATTCTCAATAGCATCAGTTGTATTTAAGCCTGTTGAATTCACAATTGATAAACCTGATTCGTTAGAATGGTTTGAATAGTTATCAAACTTTGAGCTGTTGCTCCCGGTTAATGAAAAGTTGGCTACATCATTAAAAGTTGAATTATTAACAAGACCATGTGATTGACCCGAGGGACCGCTAATTGTTTGGTTTTCTGGGAAATGACTAGTGTTGAGCCTTGTTGTATAATTTGAATCAAGAGTGTTATTAGAAATAATGTCTGAACTAGCATTATTGGAAATTCTTGTACTATTCCCAGTGGTCATGGTACAGTTATTTGAATCATTAGAAGTAATATTTGAAACAGTACTATTTGAAATTGTTGAATTGTTCACTGTTTCATTTCCTTGCTTAGTAGCTATGGTTGCATTCAAATCAACAGAGGAGTTGGATGGAACACTTGGAATATTAGATTCGTTTGAAAAATTTGTAATATTATCAAACCTAGAGCTGTTTCTCCCATTCAAAGTTGAGTTTGTAAGGTTATTAAATGTTGAATTCTCGAATGTCGATAGGTTACTCCCACTCAGTGACGAGTTGGTAACATCTTTTAAGGTTGAATTATTAACTGAAGTAATGTTGGTTTCATTCTCAATACCAAATGATTGATTTGAGGGACTACCACTATTTGATAATGTTTGGTTTTCGGAGCTATAACTCGTGTTCACACTAGTTGCATTTTTTGAATCAACAGTGTTATTATTAGTCATGTTTGAACTAGTATTAGATAGTATTGTATTGTTAAAAGTTTCATTTCCTTTTTGTATAACAGTTGAATTCAATTCTAAAGTAGTATAGTATATACTTGTATCATTTTGTTCAATAGATGAATTATTTGATAAGACGGTCTCATTTAGAATAACAGATCGATTATTCCAAGTACTGTCACTTGCATTTGTTTCATTTAGTGTGACAGTTACGTTATATGTCAGACTTGTATTGAAACTGGTCTCATTCTTAATTTGTCCATAAGAATTGTTCATTGAGGATGTTTCATTTGGATGAATTAAAGTCTCATTAACATTTACATCTGATTGGTTTGATGCTGTGTAAGTACTATTCCTTCCTGGACCAGTAGAGTTATTGAAAGTCGTCTCGTTGTTAGATGTTGAATTGTTTGATGTCAATTCACTTTCGTTGAATGTTGTATTTGAAGATGATCCAGTATCGTTTTGTCCATTACTGCTAACATTTAAACTTGTTTGGTTTGTTAAAGAAGTATTGGAATACATAGAAGAGTTGGAAACTGGTTCGTTAGTAAAGGGTGTATGTTGATCGGTTGCATTGTCCAGTAATGTCGAGTTATTAACGACGTACGAGGTAGTATTGCTCTCAAAATAGGATGTATTGCTCTCTACATTTAGCTCCGTAGTGCCATTACTGACTTGTGAATCAGTTGTTTGGTTATCTTCTCTAAATATTCCAGTACTATTTGTTGAACTAGTATTATTTACAAGACTACTATTATCGCTAGAAATAGTAGCATTATCAAAACTAAAGTTCTTGGCGGATGAGGTATTAACTGCCTCTGTGATTGTGGAAGTATTACATGCCAAACCGGTGTATCCATCTGTACAATTGCAAGTATTAAAATCAACACAGGTTCCATATCCACTGCAAGTTGATGAGCTGTTCGATTCCACATCAAAACAGTATGTATATTGACAATGTGTTCCAAAGAACTGTTCCTCACATGTACATGACGACGTTTCATTACTGAGCCAAGAACAGTTACCATGTCCTGAACATGTGATCATGGTACTGTTATTATACTCACTTTCATTCCATGTCTTGGCTATCGAAGAACACTCCACATACTCGCACTCTTCTCCATAAAATCCCAACTGGCATTCACATTCAGTGTCATTTGTACAATTTCCTCGTCCAGAGCATATATTTATGCTAAGATTATCATCAGTGAATAGCCTTAATTTGCAACTGTTGTGTCCCGATGATGATGTAGCAATTACTTTCGATAAAATTGCTCTCTGAATTATTAAGCATTGTATCACCAATATTATCATGATCATAATATTTGTTATTGTTGTTATTCGCGTTTTCCATTTTACTCGCCTCCACACTTTGAATTTCTCATCCAAAAAGGTTGCTCCTTCACACGTATGATGATGAGAGTGAAGATGAACACGAATCGGCATTCTATATTATTATCGTTATGTTGTTTTTATTTGGGCGCTTAATGGTCCAAAACAGAAGCAACACTTCGTGGTTATATTATTTTTAAGGCTCTGAGGAAAATGAAGATGCGCACTATACCCTTCCTTAGGTTCGAGTTGGGAGAGATGATTTTTTACTCGAATGGAAAACACAAGCGATGGTGGTGGTTTTGTTTGTTATTTTCTCTTGTTGTTGTTTATTTCATTATTGATTCAAGTGCAAGATAATGGTTGTAACTAACTTAGCCATTTGGTTAAAGGAAGATATTGAGGAAGTTTTGCTGTAGACCTTCGGAAGATGTGCTTAATTAAAGGAATGGATATGGCGAAGTGTTGATGAAAGATTCACCAAAAAGGAGCTGAAGGGAAATTGCATTTGGCCTCTTTGAGAAAAATCTAATCGTAGAGGGGCAATTAAATTAAAGATGTGTCGTAAAGTTGATAAGATTATAAGATACAATCTTGCAAGATTGGAATTCATCACAGCAAAGGTAAATAACCAAGTGAAAAATCAATCAGTAATTCTACAAAGTTTATTGGAAAAGTGAATGTGGACATGTTGCAATAGTTTTTGATAATTTCCATTCAATACCACAACCTATTACAGTTTAGAAATTTGTTGTTTTGCAAGATTGATCAAGTGAACTTCATCAGGACCGTCAGCAAGTTGCAATTGACGAGCACCAATCCAAACACGAGCAATGCTGAATGCTGATTCTTCGATTGGTGATGTATAGTCAGCAGGGGATGTCATTAATCCTTCAGCCCCAAATACTTGAATAGCTCTGTCTGCAACTCTTTTAGTGGCTCTTGGAACGGCAATCTTAATCATGGCAATTTCAGCACGAGCATGTTTAGCTCCCACCTTATCAATCATGTAAGCTGCCTTTAAAACCAATAGTCTTGCCTGTTCAATGTCAATTCTCGATTCTCCAATGTATTGTTGAATGATGGCATGTTGTGAGAGAGTCTTTCCAAATGTTTTTCTGGCCTTTGCTCTTCTAACCATCTGTTCAAATGTTCTCTCTGCCAAGCCAATCATTCGCATGGCGTGGTGAATTCTTCCAGGACCAAGACGGGCTTGAGCAATGTTAAATCCTTGTCCTTCCTCGAAAATCAAATTCGATACTGGAACCTTGACGTTATCAAATGTGATTGACCAATGCCCAGATGGTGCATCATCAAGACCAAATGTAATGGCAGCTCTCTCCAATTTAACACCAGGTGCATCCAAAGGAATGAGAACCATTGATTGTCTGTGGTGGACGCTTGGATGTTCTGGATTAGTTTGACCCATGAAAATGGTGAATTTACATCTCTTATCACCAGCTCCAGTAATGAACCACTTGACACCATTGATAATGTAGTGCTTTCCATCCTGTGTCTTTTTAATGGTGGAACGTACATTGGTAGCATCAGATGAACTGTTATTGTATTCAGTCATGCTAAAACATGATCTGATTTTGCCGTCCAATAGTGGTTTCAAATACTTTTCCTTTTGTTCTGGTGTTCCAAATTTCATCAAGACTTCCATATTTCCTGTATCTGGTGCATTACAATTGAATACTGAAATATGAAATAATTATTTAACATTTTCTTAAGAATGAAAAAAACAAACCTTCTGGTGCAATAAATGATCTTCCCATAATTTCTGCCAAAACTGCATATTCCACATTTGTCAAGTGTTCAGTTGGATGATGGTGCACGAGGAAGAAATTCCACAAACCTTCCTTCTTTGCCTTTTCTTTTAATTCTTCGAGAATTGGAGGAGTATCCCACTTGTCCTTCATTTCGTGAATTTGATTTTCAAAAATCTTTTCACCTGGATAAATGTGTTCATTCATGAACTTTTCCAATTTTTCCTTGAGACGAAGAGCTTTGGTAGAGAGACCAAAATTCAATCCAGAATCACTCACTGTCAAATTGTCCTTCTCTGAATTTACAATCAATTCCCAGGCAACATCTGATAATGAACCAGCTAACAAACCAACTTGAAGAGCATAATCACTGCTTGCATTTCCTTGTTTGTATCGTTTATAGACTCCCTGAGTAATTCCAACAAGTCTGAAAATTGAAAATGCCAAATAGAAATGCCACTTGTCGATTGGTTTACGCTTGGCAAAGGTAGTGTACAAATTTAAGCATTCAGCCTCTGTTAAAATACCAGTCTTTTGGAAGTTTACATCCTTGAGACCAGTAAATCCAGGCATTCTTGGAAAATGATAATACATGCAAGAGTAGGCCAAATCAGCAATTGGATGACCCAAAGTTGACAATTCCCAATCCAAAACAGCAATTACTCTATTCTCGGTAGGATGGAATATTACATTATCAAACTTGTAGTCACCATGTGTAATACATGAAGATTCTGTCAAAGTCTCTTGTGGAATATTTTGAGGCAACCACTTGATCAATCGATTCATAGTTTCATTTTCATGAGTTTCAGAAGCAACATATTGTCTAGTCCAAGTTGTAATCTGTCTCTCATAGTAATTCTCCTTCTTTTGTCCATTATTATTATTCAATGATGATGCTGCCTGTTTATACAATCCATTCAACAATTCAAAATCTCTAAAATTCACACTATGCAATCTGGATAAAGTTTTCACAAAATCAATCATCATTTCTCTTCTATCATCGGCAGTCAATTGATCTGGTCCCTTTGCATCTGAAACTCCTCCTCCAACAACTTTATGCATTTGAGTAAAGGTAGCATCCTTGAAAATTCTACCTCTCACAAACTCCATCAAGTAAAATTCAGTGCCAATCACTTCAGTTTCCCTGCAATACAAGTACATGTTCGGCACTGGAAATCCAATCGAGTGCAAACTCTTCATGATGGCATATTCTCTGTAAATATCGTGAGCTGAAGGTAGGAGTTTTCCAGGTGGTTTCTTTCTTAAAACCAATTCAATTGTATTTACTTGTTGTTGTTGATCCTTTGATGATGTTGTTGTTGGTGCTAATTGAATAACAACTTTAAAAGAAGGATTTGATTGCCCATCCGAAAATTGTACAATGCTCTGTAGGGAAAGGCTTGTTGTATGATGATTATTGTTGGTCTTGTTGAAAACATGAACGTTTTGTGAAAGATATTTGGCAAAGGCCTCCACATTGAACATGTGTTGAGGTCGAATTTGAATATTATTGCTGATCATTTTGTTTTTATTTGATTATTTTATTATTTGATCATGTTGATGATGGAAGGACAAGTAAATTGATCCGTATCGTTGCTTTGATTTTCTCTCCGATTCTTATTGAGTACAACAAGAAGAATATTGCTCCGTTACTATTTGTTGTTTTCTTAAATATTGCAATTGATGGAATGTTTTTCCAAGAGTGGAATTAAATCATTCTTAAACTTCTTCTCAAGATAGACACTCATTTGGAGATTTTGCTTACTGACATGTTTTCTACGTTGTGTGAGACCTTCTTTGAGTTGGTAGGCAAGTTGAGAGAGTCTGGTCTTGTATTTCTCAATTAAGAGTTGATTTTCCTCAGTGAGATTTTCGAGAGCCTCTGGTGATAGGTAGCGTTCCACATCCTTGTAGATTCCTCCGTGAATTCTTGGATCAATTAGGCCAGTCAGCTCAGAATCAAGAGAGGCTGTTAGTAAATTACTTTCATTCAATTTGTGGCTAACGACCAATTCCTGAACAGCATGAATTCTCAATTCTAAATAGTAAATGGCCACTTCAAGACTGTTCAATTTGAAGAGCTTCTTTTCACGAACTTCCTGAATGGTGTACATGTTAGGGAATGGTTTCTTGATGGCAAAGAAGAAAATTGAGCCATCTTGATCATCCATTGATTGTTTTGGTTCATCCATATTGCCAGCACTTGCTGATTTTTCCTCTGTTTGTTCTCTCTTAACTTTGACTCTTTTGAAAACTTTGATATTGTGACTCTTGTGATATTGTTGAATCTTTGGTGAGATAGTTGGATCTAATAATTTGAAACTATCCTCCCCAGTAGTTTCATCCATGAAAGAGTTAATTTCCTGTTGACTGGATGGCTCAACTGGGGCCAAAAAGATAACTTGCTGTTCACTGGTTCTGAATTTAGTCTCATCGAAACTGGATGGAATTTCTCTCTTAATAGTAGCTCCCTTGAATTTGAGTTTGATAAAGTTGACAAAATCTGCAAGTTTTTGATGATGAGCATTAAAGATAAAGTTTGTGTTCGACATGGATTTACCATAAAATCCAACAAAGTAATACTTGTTGTACTCTCTGATGGAGGTGACAATCTTCTTGTAGAGCTTACTCTCCTCTGAGTGAACCACTGACAATTCGGCATAATTCATCTTGTTCTTGTAAATGACACGAAGCTCCTCATTGAGAGAGATGGCTCTTTCCCAATCCTTACCCTTCTCGAACAAGTCAATAACTTCCTTGTAGAGTTTAATCTTTCTTGTACACTCTGGCTCTTCTGGATAATTGTCAGAGAAGAGAGGCAACTCAATGTTACTATTAAAGTTTAACATTTGTGCATGTTGGAAGATGGCAAGACCAGCTTCAATATAACGTTTTCTACTCTTCTGCATACTAGCCAACAAGTGCAAATACTTGAAATACAATTGAACATTGCTATTCTTCTTGAAGGATTTGAGAGCGTTCTTGAAGGACTTTTCTTGATTTTGGAAATTCATGGTATTTGGATCATTGGTGCTGGCAGCCTCGATATCTCTAATTTGTTTGAGCAAGTGATGAAGAGATTCCATTAAAACATCCATCTTGTTTGCAAATTCATCCTCTGCCTCAGGTCCCAACAATTCTACCATCAGTTCCTTGTAAGATTTGAGCTTGGATTCAACACATGAAATGAATGTTCTCCTAACTCCTTCAAGACCAGAAACTTCACTGAAAAATCTTTCAGTTGCAGCTTCACACAATGACAAGGAATTTCTAGAAATATGCTCCAATTTCAATAAATCAAAGAATAAATTCTTGGCCACTGATGCAATTTCAGAGACATGAATCTTGAACAATTTGATTGTCTTTTCGATTAAATCAGGAAGGAGACTTTCTTGCAGTTGTAGTGGTGAAAAGCTCCAAATACAATCATAAAAGACCTGTAGAATTCCGTGACGAGTATCGTTTTGACTGAGGAAGAGTTTTCTGTCATAGGATGGCATCTTTTCTGGTTCAAAACTAAAGATGGCATCAAACAAGTGCCTAACCAACAATTGAGAGAGTTTAACAATTCTATAAACATTAAACTCAGCAGGAGGTGAATTAGTTGACACGGATCGTTCTTGTGACAAGTTGTGAATGGTAGTGATGGAGCAACCTTCCATGGTTGTAATGTACTTTTTCAACTTTAGGAAAATCATTAGAATAATGTTTGCAATTGTGCCGTATTGGTAAATGTTGAGTTGTGTCCAATTCTTTGGGAGTGGGTTCTTCTTGGATAGCACAATAGAAATCAAATCCAAGAGAAGGTCCTTTGTATCGAGTTCGGCAAGTTGTGAATTTTCATTCAAATTTGCAAAGATAGTATCCAAAACTCCCTTGAATGTTAAAAGATCTAAAAAGTTAACAATGGTGAGAATAATATCACAACTGATACGTTTGGCTTGGTTGATTTCTGGTTCAAATTTTTTGGCAATCAATGAATTATTTGTCCTGGCATCTCTAGTAGTGGAATCCAAAGTTTGAGTGGCTGTCTCTTGTTCAGTTCGCTCTCTGGAATATTCTGCCTCCAATTCTTCTGTTCTCTCCAGAGAAACATCAAAAGCCTCCTTCAACATGCTCAGTAAACCGAAAAAGTCAATCAAACTTGTGGCACATTCTTTCATCTTCTCTCTGTGCTCCTTGCTTAGAAGAGCAGTGTCAGTTTCCTCCTCACTAACAACAGTCATTCGTTCCGTTTGATGCTCGGAAGTTGTGGAGATGTTCAAATCACCCAGTCCAAAAGTACTCTTAAATGACTTGCCATCGTGTGACATACGAGTTTTGAAGAGATGAATAATCTTGTTCATGATCGATATTGATTTTGGTTCGAGGAAACATTCACTATAACCCTCAAGTGCCTCTAAAACTATTGGATAGAGAGTTTTAGATAGTGTTCCTTTTTGGAAAGGTTCTGAGGAAATGATATTATCAAAAAAGTGTAACTTTCGGTAAGATTCTTCTGCAGGTATGGCAGAGGAAAACTTTTCAATAATTCTTCCTAATCTATGTTCATTGAACAAATCTCGTACTGTTGTGAAAAAGTCTGGTGTCATTGTATCAAAGAGGGCATTCTTGACAGACTTGAAGATTGTTATTGTTTCTGTTTCTGGCTTTTGAATGAGCTGGTTAAGTTTTACATTTATCAGAGAAAGCTCATTCTGGAAAAATCTCAACTCCTCCTCAGCAAATTGTGGATATTTACGTTTAAAGTTGGTGAGGGAACTCTCAGCAATTTTGAGTAAATAATTAAGAGATTTGATGGCACGTATAAGTTTTTCTTTTGTTCCTACAGTCATATCATCAAGCTTAATCAAATCAAAATGCTTATTCAGGTAGAAAAGTATGAAACGATGACTCAGACTGTACTGAAGAGACTTCTTGAAATCCTCAATGATAGAGATGGATGTTTCTGGAGAATCAACAAACTGAGCCAACAAAATACAAATCTTTTCAAAGACCTTCTGTAAAAGTTGACTCTCTTTGAATTCAAATGAATCACTTGTCTTTGGTTTGCCATACTTGTTGGCAATTCCAAGGAATGATGTCATTATCTCACGGAAACATATAGTCGTATCGACTGTCTTGAAGTCAATATTGTTAATAATTGATTGAATGTTAGTTTCATCCATAATATCCCACTTTAAAAAGTCTCTCAGATTAGGATTGATCGCAATTGAAGTAGAGACAACATTAACAGCAAGACAGAGCTTGGCATTCTTTTGACACTTTTGTTTGATTGGTTCATTTTGGTCAAATTCATGAATATTCGTAAAGCCCTTTGTGAAATCATAGCATGGAAGAGGATCAATTTGAGTTTCATTTCCAAGTGTTAGAGTTCTGGTTCCATCATCAACATGGAAGTAAGCGAAAAAGTCTGGTGAAATTTCATATGCATTCTTCTTGGTATTTACAACATAAAATTCGAATACAATGATGGCAGATTGAAGTTGATGAGAATTTACATTGACTAACAGAATTTCACTCCATGATGGGTTTTTCATTCTCACAATAGCACTATTAAAGAGTAAATTAAATTGTTTGATTATTCCTACTTACGATCTGTAAACTCTCTGCTTTCTATTGATATCACATTGAATAGTCATACCATCTTTGCCCTTTATGTACATCTTAGCTTCGACAAAGAGAGTCTTGACATTCTTGTTCAGAACATTCTTAACATTGATATAGATATCATTTCTAATATCGTCCGATATGATAGAACTGCTGAATCTTGTCATTGGAACGAGAGGAAGTTGAGAAAGTTGAGGATATTGCTTGTATGCTTTGTGATAATCTCCTGTGACCATACTGAGTGAAACATCAATTCCCATAATATCCTCTCTCTCAAGATTTTGATCATCATTCATTACTTGATCGAGGAAGGAATCCAAATTGTCATTGCTCTTGAAGTTGAAAAAGGTAACCTCATGTTTAAGAGTGACACCACCAGCAAGTTCAGAAACCACAGACTTGGTAAGTTTTGGTGAAACACCAACCGCCATAGGTATTCTGCAATCCAAAAAGGTCTTTCCATTGACTGGTGTGTCCAATTTAACTCTCTCCACTCTGAAGGCACGTACAAGAATGAGCATTTGTTCCCTCTCTATGAAAGCTCTTGAAACATCCTTGAAGAGTGCATAGAGATTTTGTCGTTGTCTAAGAGTTGCATCTTCCTCATCATGGTTGCCTGAGGAATTAATAGAAACATGTC